CTTTCAAGGTGAAACTCAGACCCAGGGTGCCAGAAGTAACTTGGGTGGTATTTGCTGTAGATTGATTGTGGGTGCCATATTTAGGCTGGGTGGTATCCAGCGTCTTCATTGTTGATCCTTTAAAAGTCAGAAAAAAATGTGGATACAGCTAAAAACATCACACCTCCATCATCAACCCTTTCTCTCTCGGCAGCCCGAGGAACTCATGTGGATAACTTTTTCCCCAGACCCTAGATAGAAAGATGAATAGGATGTGTGTGTAAGGTGTCTTTAGAGAGTTTATTTTACTATGAAATAAAGCACATATCAATTGAACTATTAAAAAATATGCCATATTTTACTGTGGTTAGAACTTTATGGAAGTTGGCATAATTGGAGGTGTTTAATCATGCCAGAGAATGATAATGAGGCCTTCAAAAGTGATGGTGGAAGGGCAGCTGTAACTGAGGATGAAAAGGCTGGAAGTTTGCAGTGATGCACACAGACTTGGGGCTCATTAGCAGGCCATGTAGAGCCTGGACCACTGGTTAATAGGAAATGAGAAAGACTGGGAGGTTAGATGAGAAAGAGAAATCTTCATGGCCACCACTGGCTCCAAAAACAGGAAGACCACCGATGAACCACTCACTCAGTTGATCAAATTTTCCATTGTGCACACATGCTCACATCCATATAAGGAAGTCATCAGCTTTTTAAAGAGAACTGCCATGTCTTTCCCACCCTGTGTATGTTTCCCTGTAATTATCTACCTAACTTCTTACGTGGCATTTCTCTGGAGTGTTTCAGTTTCTTGAGACAGTGACTGAAATCTCCCCTGGAGAGTGTCCTGAGACTTTGGACAAGTTCCCTGTTGCTCTCCCATTGCCTCATGGTCCTGATGGCATCAGGATGACCCTCTCTCCAGGTCATGTTTTTTGGATAAAAGTAGAAAGAATACTGTTCATCAACAGAGAAGGCCCAGCATCCATCAGTGAATTCTCCTTGATGATATTGAGATTGTATTCTGATCTGCAAGGGATTATTACCTGCAAACGACACAAAACAATATCACCTTCCACCCTTCATAGAACCATCACCTCCTCAATGGTCCAGTCTTTCTCTGCACACTTAGGAATCTGTATTCTTTCCTCCTTCGCTTGCTGTTTCTTACACATTAGTTACCATGTACCTTGAGGTTGGGTCAACAGTCAGCTCTTTTATGCAGATACATCCACAACTCCCTTTCTACATAAACTCTGTTCTATCTCTTTCTTATCTATAGTCTCTATCTTTGCATTCTGTCTCATACTTACCCTTGGACTTGAATAGCCCTGATTCCAGTTTCATGATCTTATCAAAAGTGTCTTTCAGGCTTTGGTACAAATCAGCACACACCTCAGTGGCATTTTCCTCCTGTTTTTCATCATCAAAATAAAAGAGAGACTTTCCATTCACTGAGCACTGTCCAGATGAGTTTCGATGCTTGACAATGAAATTGCAACTTAGAGAGTCTGTACCTGTGAGAGAAACAGGCAGGTGATGTCCAATGTGGGAGCAGGGGTCCATAGGAATCAAGGTTTTCTAGCACTCTGAATGTGTCTAACAGGAAAAGATTCAGGAAGAGAAGCATCTAATTAAGAGGTCCAGGAGCTTCTGGATCCTCAATTCTGCACCATCTTTAACTGTCTTAGGTTGGTAGGACTCCCTAAGTGTATATAGTGTCACCAGGGAGATTTATCTTGTGCTTTTAGTGACTTTTATCTAGTTCTGAAGTATGAATATGTCAGACAGCATCCATGTTCCTGGGGATGAAAATCTAGCTGAACACATAGGGGAAAGGGAGGCATTATAGAATACACGGTAAATCCAACATGGAGCCTGGTACTCAGGAAAGCTCCTGTAGGAATGCTGCAGCTTGGCATGGAAGGGGAGCTGCCAGCTGTGAGCTCAGTGCTCATCCCTGTTTCCACTGGGCCCCTTCACACAACACTGTTGGGCATCCGATCTCAGGTTCTCCCATGTTACACCACACACCTAATCCATTCTCAGGGAGAGACCTCTGTCTGTTTCTGACCTGCTTGAAGCCCCAATCTATCTCCTCTTAAGTCTTTGTTTAACAGCAAACTTACAGCCCCTGATTTCCCAGACTTTCACTAACAGCTAAAGAGGACACAATACCCTAGAGCTATCCTGTTAAGCAGACTGCAAAAAGAAGCCGGCCAAATCAAGTGAATGTGTGTATACTTACTGTCCTGTGTTTTTGTGGGCACTGACATCCAAAATTTAAAACTATTTTATAAAAGGAACATTTAACAAGTTTGTAATATGATGACACTAAAAAAATGCTAAAAAATATAAAAAAATTTCTTTCCCTTTCCCTCCCCAAAACATTTGCTTTGAGGTAAACTGAT